TAGCAAACCTTCCGGACCCTTTCATATTTCGAGTCCCCAATGTAGACATGGCTTTTATTACCTCGTTTGAATGGCATCAATGAGCCACCGATGGACACAAGAATATCTTAACTACAAAGAAAACCTTAAATTCTCATCCGTGTCCATGTACCAGGCTGTCCGTGAACCGAAGTACGGCGTCGCGATGAGGGTACCACAACTACCATGCCCAGTCTGATGGCTTTCCCGTAGTTAACTGTGTCAAATATTTCTCGGACCAGCGTGTTGCCAGGAAAACCGTTTTAGTTCGTCTAATTTGTGCAAGGATATGAAAGCAGTGGCCATCGTATTGTGCCGTCTGTTCATTCTGCCCACAACCCCAATAATTTATTCAACGGTTCACTTAATGGCCCGGTTTATTGACGAAGATCAAACCTTGCCTTAAACTAGATATAGCGTATGCTGACCACCATAAAAACAAAAATATCACCAGCTGTTACAAACTCCTTGGCCTCAGCGGAACGCTTCCCGCACCCGTAGAAGAATTTTTCATATCCATGTGGCGAATGTCCGCTTCAATTTTAGTTTGCGCTGATATAATGGATATGATTGATATCTAAGTCGTTTTGAGGATATTTCCACATCTAACAAATAAAAAACACGCGAAGAGACCAATTTTTTTCACAAACTTTCCCATCAGTTTCATAGAAACGATGGACGAAGCCGTCGACAGCTAGCAAAATACGAATTCCTCGCCAACAGTGGACCCCAGGTTCGATTAAACAACGTCCAATAAAACTTCGGCCGCATGAGGGGATCTTAGGTCACCGAATAATTACCATCAAGCGTCAATGCTTCATGCTAAATTTTCCATTTTTCGAACCACCGCTTCAGAGAAATTTTGGGTGTGATTCTAGGACGTGACCGATCACTGAGAGCCTCACAGTACAACTTCAAAGTAGAACGTGTGCCAGAAGTTTCGAAAGGAGATAAACGAAAAGAAATCGCTGAAAATGGATGGCAAACGATGGTGATTTTCGGTCTAAGCAAATATGAAAAAACATGCAGCATTTGAAGTCAAGCTTTTTACTTCACTTGCAAGGGTTTTCCAGAAAAACAGTTGTGCGTCCAAAACGCGGCGTTTATTTCGGTTTGCTTTTAGTAAGCGGCAATTTTTGGCCAAACCTTATCCGGCATAATCAGCGTTCCCCAAAGGCACTTTGCCGCGAAGTAAAACGTTTTTGTTTAAGTGTCACATTTTGATGAGTGTGTGTTCAAACAAAAAACACCATAATCCGTCCACCTTTCTAGGATTTGTTTCAATTAAGCTTTTTTCACAAGTTTACAGTTGCTTTCCTCCGTCTCGGCGTTTCAGTGAAATGTTGTTCACGGTAGTCTGTTTAAGTGAGCAAACTTTCAAGGTCATCGACCGCCGCCGAATCGCGTGTGATCACCAGTTCAAGGAGAAAATCAAGTCAACTACCACATCAAAGATAATTTTCCTAGCTAAAATAATGATGTCAAGTACCTGGAATGCGTCATGAAACGCAACGATGCTGTTGGAAGATAGGAACAGCCGTTGCCTTTCAGCATGATAAGGTTGTCGTTTACCTTGGCTTCTTATCGCAACTTCTAGACTCAGACCTATTCACGGCTCTGGGTATGAGGCATCAACTATGCATGTTAGCCTATTTCGACGGCCTAAAATAGCCCTTCGTACTTATACATATTGTCCGGCTGTTTTACACCTGCCTGAAAATCGCACAGTTGCATTTAGTGAATTATGTTTTTATTTATTGTCTGCATTGTTACAAATCTAATGGACGGTCATCCTCATTTTCTGGAATCCACTTACAGTCGACAAGGATTCTGGCCTAAGCTTTTCCTCCACAAAATCCTGTATAACTTCCTGCCGCTGCTCTCTTCCGGCTGACGCTTTCACAATTAATGGAAATCCTATCACCTATTGCACGGAGATCAAAGATCTCGGCCTCAGATACTCCTATACTTTTAGCTTTTCCCACCAGGTGTAGTTTCAGGTTGCAAGAGCACACGGGCTCAGTTCTTTAACACAACACTGCGCTCACCTCCCAGACACAATGTTTGCAATATTTAAGCTGTGCGTACGACCAATCGTGGAATTTTGTCCTGCATTCTCCTCCCTTTACACCCAAAATTGCAGACTCGCTATTGAAAATGTCCAACGCTCATTTACAAAAAAGCTGTCTCCTTGGTCAAAACACCTCTCTCACCGCTCCCGCTGTCAAATCCTAGGCCTCGAACCACTATGGCTTAGACGGTTCAAATTGAATCTAGCTCTCTAACACCATCTGCTGTTTAAGAACGCCTTTATGGCAGAGGCTAGACCAAGTGTAAACTGATAACCTCGCTACAGACTCCGTAACTCCTGCAACCTCTTAGTATGTCCCCCAGCTCGTACAAACTTATGCCACTACTTCTTTCTGGTTTATCACGCTCGCATCTGGAACAGCCTTCTTGAGCAGCTGCGAAGCATCACGCTTCATCATACTTTTTCTCAGTCCGTGGACAAATTCCTTACTTGTGAAACCGCCGCCGCCCAACTTAATACTCGTCTACCCTCTGACCTCCTCTACGAATCAGGTCCAGCGCGCATATGAGTTTGGCGACCTTATAGTTAGTGGGCAAATAAAAGATTCTGTTATTATTTCTTCCTATCTTCTTGACCCGCTTTAATCAAATATCCAAACTTGCTCGTTCAGNAGCTCTGTCTAGTAACTGGTGGTCACAGCCTGACTCTAACTGATAAAGACCAAACCAAAGTCGATTTTTTCCTCATCTCATTATCAGAGCGCATTCGGCGCTCACATATACCCATTTGATGATTTGTCCCACGAAACACTCCGACACAACATCATGGAACGCTTCAGTTCGACATAGCAGCCCACATCAACGCTCCGACGCAGTTAAGCCACGATGCAATCGCCGTGAATAGAAATATTCCAGTCCTACCGTCTCACTGAAAACTGCCATACCACTTCTCCTCCGCGACTTGCCTCTACCAGCATCTGTGTGCTGTTTGCTCGTTCGAATTTACTGAGCTGTCTTTACCGGCCTGGCTTTCGTTCGACCAAAAAATGGTTGCTGGAGTATTTATTAATGCACGAACCGCACTTATGACTGCTTGCATGGTTTTCCGCCTTACAGATCTGGTAACGTGCACGAGGGATGAAAACCTCGTGTGGTGGACGTGTACGCCCTGCAGGAAGGGTCGCCCTGTTGCGTTGGACCATGGTACGTTCGTTTACCCACCGACCCTCCAGTAGCACGGGTGCATCGCCCATCGCCGGCGGTTCTGAGCCTGGCCTTTAAATTCAGGAAATCAAAAAAGTACTGCTGATTTCTGTTTGTTGCTGCCGGTGTTAGGCTCGCCTCGGCAGAGTTACGCACCTGACAACTCCATAAACCACAGATGAAAGAAACTGGCCTCTTATCTGTAAAGAAAAGCAAAAACAAAAAAATTAGAAGTTCACTTGGGAAAGCCCAAAGGTACTCTGCTGTATTTGCCTTCGTCAGGACAGATGCCACACCACACCAAAGCTTATTTCGTCATCCAAAAAGAGAATACATCTACTCGCAACTCCCAGTGGTCAACACCTGCTATGCACCATCTACAGATTAGAGCTAATAGCAGTACTTCGGGGACTAGTGACTATATCTCCTGCACACAGTTCCTCTACTGGTAATCGCAGGTCATCATCCTAGTTGCATCAGACGCCAAGTTTTTCTTTCTATGCATATAAATGCATATTATCCCATTTCATATCCCCTCAAACTCACTGTGTTTTGCAAATCTCCTCCCATCCCCTCACCTTCCCAAGCCTTAAACTTCGGAAGTGCCCGCTTTGGACGATCTGGTTAGCTGATCTCCACTCCACCTGGCCTATGATCTACAACTCCGGGATCACCAAACGGACCAAGAAAACCTGCAGTCCCATATCGGCTTCGTTCGAGCTTGTTTCCTCGACCAGGCTGAAATGAATACCGCTGCTCAATGAACTGCATACCCAAGACGAATCATCTCAAATGTGACGTCCGTCACGGGGCTGTCCAAAAACTGAAGCATGTCAGGCCAATGATGGCACGGCACTGTCATACTCAGTTTGATAGCACACCCGCAACTGTTCCATTCCTCCCCTAAACCGTGCCCTCTTGCCTACTCGTTTCATTGACCCCAATCGACCACCATGACATTCATTCCAACCTATTGGACTACTCGTTCAAATTCAACCACCGCTGTGTTCCCATCAAACCTAACCCCTACACCTGACTTCCCAACAACAGAGCAACCAGTGAGTCTGCTTGTTCTCAGATTGCACCATATTTTTGAGACTAAACTTGCCGTGTTCTCCCAATTCGGATTATCCCATCTCCACCTCCACTTTTGCTTGTTATGACTCCGGCCATTTACCCAACCGCCCAAGGTCACTCATGGCCAGCAATGGTTTTGCAGTTTTAGTTCATGGCAGCCAACTGAGTCACTGAATTACTCGGACCTCATGCCTATTGTTCACTACAAGTTGCAAGAGAAACATATTATTATTATTATTTAATCGAGTACCTCCCACTGTTTGTGACATTGTCCCCTTTTCGCGCAGTCAACACTACCCGCAAATCCCTCAGTAATGCCCCATTCTGACTGTAAACGCATGATCATGCCAGACGGCATGCCACCCACAAGTTGGGAATAAACATTATTATTATTAAAACCCAAATCATGTAATAAACACCAGATTATCCAGTTATCTTAGAAGTCCACTCCCGCCAGCCCTTATGCATCTGATTTCCATACCACGTTTCTGCGCGCTTTTCGTTTCGGCTTTTACTGGATCCATTGCAATGTGATGTCGTAGGTTAGCAAACTCAACCCACGGTCGCAAGCCTGCCAAGTACAAATCTTTCTATTTCCTACTCAATATAATCACCTGTCATCACCCTAATTGCAGCAGGCGTCAAGTTTTTCTTTCTGTGTATATTTATGCATGTCATCCCATTTTATATCCCCTCAACTCCACCATGTTTTCCGAATCTCCTTCCATTCTCTCATCTTCTTAAGCTTTGAGCCTTGGAAGTGCCCGTTTCGGACGACCTGGTTAGCTGATATACACTCCACCTGGCCTATGATATGCTACTACGGGATCACCAAGCGGACCACAAAAACCCTACAATCCCATATCGGCTTCGTTCTAGCCAGTTTCCACGACCAGGCTGAAATGAATACCTCTAACCAATGCCGAGAAGAGAGCACCGCTCTCAGG